CGTCAGAGTCGTTCAAATCGTCGTGAACTTCGCCGTAGTGACCGTCCATCCGCGGTGGGTGCGGCGAGCGCGACGCAGTGCTCGGGAAGTAGATACCGGACCCAGCTGATCGTACTCTGGAACTTATAGTATTCTACCCCAACGGCGTGTTGCCATTGCTGGACCCGATCGACGTAGTTGTACGCTGTGAAAAGGAGGATTGGAATTTTCAGTGAAGGGTACGGTGATCGCCGCCGAATCACTGTAGTTTGCTACAAGAGTTCGGGTAGAAGGGCCGCCGCTCGGGTTCGAATGACTACTATTTGGTAGTTGTCTTATGCTCCTATCCTTTTCTTCAAACACTGTTTGCGAAACTTCAGACACAGTCAGAATTTAGAAGATGAAAACAGTAATGTCAAACAACAGAAGAGAAGTTTCACTTCCCAAGAAAGACGAGTACGATGCCTAGAGGTTGGACTCATAGGTGGGAGCATGGAATCAACAAGCTCTCTATGTCAGACAGCAAATATTCTTTGCAATTGTTTATCATGGAAATGACCAAGAAAAAGAGAAATGAGCAGTATAGTTTACCTCTTAGGTATATTTTCTTTCATTTCTTCTGCTCGTTTCACCTTAGTTGAAAGATCCTTCACCTGGAAAATCAACGATTGTTGGCTCAAGACCTATAATAAAGATGGATCTGACTTACCAAGTTCAAGTATATATAGACGTTTCCAAAACTGCCATCATCTGCTGGAGTCTTTTTGATCACTACACTTCCTGGAGACGTCTCCAAGTTTTTTTCTTCAGTGTTCGGTCTTGGTGTAGTGTTCGGGAATTCGACTTCAGTTTCATCTGTATTCCTCGGGTCTTCCACTACAGCGTTATTTTTTGATGCGGCTTTCAACTCTCTTACTTCTTGGCTTGTTTCTGGAACCGTCCCTTCCACGAAGGATCCTTAAAAAAGCAGCACGATTTCTTTTTTGACAAATGTTACTCAAACTAGCATAAAATTTTCCATGCCATAAACAGTGGATTACCACCAGTAATTTTTGCATGTGTAGTGACTGCTCATCATATCAAATGGGTCCTCCCCCTTCCCGGATGGGACATTTATTGTGCCCCATCAATGGGCTATTTTACGGAAAACATGATGTTTTTCTTTGAAATGTTGGTTGCCTATCTACCTCGGAGAGTCACTGGCTGCTTTGATAGTCCACGAATTGGCCCGCGAGCGAGCGATCGAGCG